TACATTTAATGAGAAAAACCGGCGTCACGTGACATAACATCACGTGACCTCTACAACCGTATAGTTTCTTTACTAAATTGAGTGCGAAAAAATGCGTCACGTGACATACCAATTCTTTCACCAGTTCCCTATAATACATTTCATGCACAGATAGGACTTTCCAGGTAAAAGTGGCTGTCAATATTTTCCCCTTTACTTTCTTCGCATGGGTTCATCAGCTCTTCAATGCACAAGTGTACGATGCGTTTGTCTACAACGGGTAGAAAGGAGTGCTTCCTAAGACCCCAGCTTAGTGAAGGAATAGATGAAGGATGACAGCGTAGATTTGGGTTGACCGTCTGGTCATTCATGCCGACTTCGACTTTCGTGAGTTCTAAAGTAGACTGCGCATGTGCCACTTCCTGCAAATTTGATACGCGTATAAATTCGATTAAGTGAACAATAATGTAATTTCGATGATTTCAACCTTCCGATATTGCTCGGTGTGAGTGGTTTTCCCCTGCTACCTACAGTTCTTCGCACTAGTCAGGATTTCTTGGCCTTTTCTCAGATCTAAGCTTGTATCAAGTTGTGTCTCAACCAATACCAATGATTATACGACTGCCAACGTGTTAAATTGCATCATTAACACAAAATTTGATTTTACGTCTCGTGTTACTTATTTAACTGCTGTTAGGGACCACTTGACATCGCAATTTACTTTACGGATATCGGTGTGTGTTCAGGTAAATATGTTGTGTGAAAAAACAGTGAATGCTCAGGCGAGTTGGTGGAAGTTGATCATGATGTAGAATATGCGAGACTGTGGTAAAAACTGGGAAACTTGGTGAAAGAAAAAAGACTTCCTTTTCCCCTGTCTTTTTTTTTCGACCAAGTTTCCCAGCTTACGTTGTATTGATAGAGTACTAATCCATTCTCGACTGTATAAATGCTTCATAAAAGTTCCTTATATCTCTTTCAGGTTTATAGGATAAAGTATTTCTAGCCAGTGTGCCACTGTTTTAAACTATACCTTTGGGGGTTTGTTTCTAGCGATATTGACTGTCGTCTTCCAGTGTACCCTCCATGGAGGCTTATATGTTGATCCTTGGTGTTTTGCCATCATGGTATAGTGAAGCTAATAAAACAGCTAAAATTATATTCCCATTGCGTCGTCATTCCATCTATGCTTCTGGATAGTCCCAAAAAGTACGGCTCTATTTTTCTCTCGCAACTTTCTAAACACTCAATAAATATAACTCTTACTGCGCCCGATGATTGGAAAGTAAAGAAGGTTATTCTGTTGCAGACATCAGGCGACAGACATTGTCGTACTAATTACCGGAAAAAAGTCTCTAATTAATACGCACTGTAAAATTATGAAGCATATTATTTACTCACGCAGTGTTATATTTCCTAAATTCAAATTCAATTATTTCTTTCCCTTTCAACATGACATTCGTAAATATATTTTATGCTCTCTCTCTCTCTCTTTCTATATATATATATATATATATATATATATATATATATATATATATATATATATATATATATTTCATCCTCAACCAAGGGTCAACATTTCATTCCTTACAGAGGATTTCAGATTAATTCTTTTTTTCTTTATTTCTGCAAAGCCTTCTACAAGGTTTTCTAAAAGATTCAACTTCTCAAACTTGGCAAACTTTACCTCCACCCCAACGCCCGATCTTGGATTGAATGTTTTCAAAAAATTGGTCTCATTTTGTCACTGCTAATGAAGCGGATTGTCTCTTCGGTTCTGTCACCTCAGGTCACCCACAAGGTCAGTTTTGGGTTCGATACTATTCTTTATTTATATAAAAAAATTTAACTCAAAACCGCTTGTACTCCATGAGTTTGATTGTGGACGACTGAGCTTTCGCATAGTTAGTAGAGAATTCGATCATTATCTTCTTCCGTCTGATTTACACATATTTATGGAATGGTGGGACGCAAGGCGCAAAACCATTAACACTAACAAATGTAAAGCTATAGGGGTACCTCGACGGGACACATCACCATTGTCAAACTATCTTGAATCCTCCTCCTCGTGGTTCGGGACCTCCAACATATATCTTGCTGTACACATTACGGTTAAGATGTTGTGGCAGACTCATACGTATTATATAATTTCTAACGCCAATTCTATACTAACACATATAAAACTAAATTTTACATTAGCCTTCGTATCTTCGAATATATTTTTATTAAAACACACAGACTTCTATATTGAAATAGGCGGTATTAATCTGGGATCGCGGTCACATCACGCTCGTGTTTAATTATTGAGACTGTCCAAGATTGTGGTGTGCGTTTTATATTTTTCATATGTTGTCGTACAGCCAGTGTCTCCTCCTATGAAAGTTTACCTATCCTATCTTCATTAGTTGCGTCGTAAAAAATCCCGGTCGTGTTTTTCGCCTACAATTTATTACTTTAACCCCGCTGTAAATGATAAGCGTCTGCTTCCTCCAAATGTATATTTTCCCTCGCATATACCATCAATTCAATGTCGCTATTCATTCCTGTCTCTCCAAGTGACACTCACTCATTCATTCTCAAAATGTCATCGAAATGGAACCGCCTTTCCGCATGTGTGGTATAAATACCATCAGTGAATTTATTCAACATTTTCATTACCGATCTTTTTTCTTAATCCCTGACCGGTCATGTTTTAGAGCATTTATCTCTTCTACGATTGTTTATATCTCAATACCTCGTTTGTCCTTGTGCCCCCCCCCCCCCCCTCTGTGTAACGCCTCCAAGTCCTGAAAATATTGAAATAAATCAATAAGTAAACACCGATTTAAAAAAAAAAAAAAAACTGTGTTTTCTTTTTCTCCTAACAAATTGCGCTTTAGTTCCTATATGAGTAACTTCTTACTTTCGCAGACGGCTCACTCGAATAAAAATGAATAGCGAGCTGAAATAGTCAAAAGTGAAAACTAATGACCAGTAAAATTACTGGTCGTCTTGTTTATTTTTTGAAGGGATTTTTACGCGCATATAAGAAGTGCCGTCATCCAAAGTTGTTTGTTCGTTACACATTTTCCAATGCGTGTCGTTAGCGCTCTACGATAATAAAGACATTCAATCTAAAGCTAATTTAGAACTGCAGCTGCATTACATGTGTACATTCATTTCACTAATGACAGTTTCGTGTTTGCACTCCCATCAAAACATTGTGACGTCAGCGTCCTTTATGATTGTGTTTTATGCCCTTTGTTTGTTTATATATATATATATATATATATATATATATATACATATAATTGCCTACATCCTGTCATTCAACCTTTTATAAAGTTATTTGCTGACAACTGAGCTCTTTACCTCAAAATAATTAGCCAACGCATTCTAAAAACAAGGTGTAAAAGGGCCCTTTGTCCGATATAATACAACCAAAAACCTCAATTTGACGTACAGCGCGCTATTGTTTAATTATGTTTACCCAACTAGCCCATCAGATGATTTTATCGCCCTATAATCGAACAGACGGCGCCAAATTTTACAAGGGGCTTGATAGCCATGTGGTACAACTTATTAAAAATGCTACTGTATGTGTTACTTACTAAAAAAAAATATTAATCGGGGTTTTCTTGTCCCTACTGCAAAACCTCAGTGTTTTCTTTATGTGGTCTTTGATGCGTACTTTAGCTATTTAAAAAGTAAAATCGCACCGTTATCAAGCCCCTCGTGAAGTCTGGGGCCGTCTGTTCGACTATAGGACACTGTACGTCGAAATGAACTTTTGGGGTATATTATATGGAACAAAAGGGTGTAAGGTGATGTCTTTTTTTTAGAGTGCGTGATAATTTTTTTCACCCTTCTGACCTCGAATGCGTTTCCGTTTTTTGTAACAAGTGGTTAAGTACCATTTACATAATCCAATGTAACGGCATAAAAATGAGTTGCCTTTTGAATGTTTTAATATCTGTGTCTATAACATTAACGGTATTCATCTCGAGCACGTCTCTGCGTGCGAATACCAGATTTTACATAACTAATAACCCACGTCCCCTACGTCATAAACAACGCTTCCCGCTCCTTCGGCTACTTACCTTGCGATATTTTATAAGCATCTTCGCCTCTGAAGTTAATTTTATATCGAAGACTCATTCACTCGAAGCTTGAATACGCGTCAGCGATATGGAAGGGGACCCAGCTGAACGTACTCTCCTAGACGCTATAGAATCCATTAAGAATCGATCAGCGCACTTTAATCTCACTAAATAATTCCCTCTCGCCAGAGTTTCACTGATAATCTAACCCCGAGCTTCCGGAATTACAATTCGAAACACGCATTTTGTGTATTTCTCTTATTATTTCATGTTCTTATATAACTCATCATTTTAACGCCAACGTTTTTCTCGACCTTCATATTCTTCACCCCATATTGAACGAAAGTATAACGTAACCATATTTTTGTGCAACAGGAATAAGTTTTTGTATTCTAGCCTACCCAAGTCTAGCTCAGAGCAGAGCTGTCCCCTTCCACACCGTCATCACCTCCATTGAAGACGTCGCTCCGTCAAGGAAGCCATGACGGAAAAGATTTCTAAACCTCACTGTTATTGTGTGTTTTGTTTTTCTTTTTACTTTTTTTTACTATCGTGATTTTTGTTGTGTAATTTACGCTTTGAACCCAACTCCTCAGTAACGCCCCCTTGGCATGGAATGTAGTGTAAAAAAAAATATTCAAACAAAACTTTCTTTTCCCAGCATTAAATCAAGATTTTTATGTAAACTAAAGAAAAAATAAAATGCATGTTCGTTAAGGTAATTATAACATACAAGAAGGCTGGGATTGCGCTAAATTAACCAATCAAAACAAATTGCAAAAAAAACTCGAAATGGATATCTTAAGGTAATCATGTATAAAGCCTGTAAAGAATTTAAAAAAGTTAGTCGACCACAGCATGCCTTTAAATGTCTGCAAACTTAATATAACAAACGCTTCTCATTCGGAACAAACATGCAAAGAGCGACGCTCAGCATACCATGGACATCGAGTTGGACCCACTTGACCACTGGAGCTGGCGTGGCTTTCGTGAGCACCACGCACTCTAACCTGGCACCGAGGTCCCAACGCGAAAGCACAAAGCGCGCTGTAGAAGTCACGTCGTGGATGCCCCTAAGGTCCGGCATGACGGACGTCTTGACCGGAAGGTTGGCCGACGTGTTCCTCCAGAGGACCGTCGGCGCCGGCCGGCCTCCCGAAGAAGAGCAGTCCAGGACCACCGTCGTGCCTTCCATGTACGGGCCCAACAGGCTGCCGTTGGTCAGCTTCCGGCCGTCCATCTTTATCACAGGCTCTTTGGGCGTCACTGTAGAGACACGCGGAAGAGGATAGTCTAGCTTAAAAGGGAGATCAAACGGCCCTTTTTTTTCAACAAATACCGCTAAGAATTAATCGCCCGTGCTTATAATACACTCCGCCCTGGCCCATATCCAGAAAATTATATCGAAAATATACCGGAGACCAGTTCGCTGTACATTCATGTAGCATCTGAAATACCTCAACCCACGAAACACGCATTTTTGTTCTTTTATTTGCGCACTATACATACCTGTCGTCAACTAATTTTTTCTATCTTCTCATGGTTAGTGTAGGTTTCACAGCGGTGCAGATCCGCGATGGTGCGGTCACGAGTGGCTCTGTTTTTCATCTTATTCACAGCTTTGACAGCTTTGACAGCATAATCGGAACCCTTGTTGTAGACATTTTCATTGTCAGCTTTTAGTGAGTTCCTCGGAAAATGTAATGGTATTTTCTTTTTAATTTTTGCAAGTAGGTCACATCTTTCCGCAAACACAAATTTGTAATAATAAGATGAAACAAAATGTTAGGTCAAAGTTTTTGAACTTGAGAGGGGAGCAACAACTGTAAGTGGGGCTTGGTTCTCTGCCGCTCGGACCGAACTTGGCCTCAGAAGACGTCTATCTGAAGAACACTGGTATGTACTACCACCAGCATCTACTCCGCGTGCTTTTGAGCGGCGTCAGTACACATTTTTTTTTTTTTTACAAAAAAGGTTACATCTAAAATGCAGAACACGAAGAGAACATGGAGAGATGTGCTCTCCGTATTTTGTCTGTTATGTGTAACTTTTTCGCAAAACATTGTATGCAGCACCAACGCACTCCTTAAGATTTGTGGCAATACACGGTACGTGCGGAAAGCGTGCTTTTACATTTCCTGCTTCAACCAATGCACTAAATAGCTTTTTTGCTGTTGAACTGCCTTGGTATTTTTATTTGTTTATAACCTATATTAATATCAACGAAAGTCCGATTCTTTTGTTCTCCACATCTGAACCGAGGCTCTCTACCTGTTCACAACAGAAAACGAAAAATGTAAAAAAAGCGTATTTATTACTTATTTATAACGCGTCTTGCTAACTTCGGGCACATCCGCTTGTAGGGTTCAATCGTATTCCAGTTTGGCCAGTTATATGACGACTTCTATAGATCTTTGATTTCCAAAGCATCAGGCATCGGCTGCAAAGACGATTTTTTCTTTATCCAGAGTAAAGAGCACCTCCACTGCTGTGCTGGAGATGCATGATCTAGTGCATGAAGCATTCCGAAGGCAGAAAACGGCCCTCCCAATGAGTGCCTCGGATGAAAGGCTGTTCGGTGCAGGTCGACATCTTCGCGAAGAAACCGGCCAAAAGCCTCTGACGAGGCTTTTGAGAGCCCGCCGTTGCTGAATATATTCAACGTCAAGAACAGTATTAGGCTTGATTCACATAATGATATTTTGCTTGCGATTTCATAGTTACGGCGTCGCACGTCCGGCTAAAAATACGTGGCGCACGTTGAGGGGTTTCACGCCCGAGCTGCGGTTATCGAAACTAAAATGAAACCACGTAAATTGAGATTTATTGGAGACAACAATAGACACTTGAATACCTTTCTTTCCATTTTTGTTTCTTACTCAAAGATAGCAATGCTGCATGTAACGTCACCAAAGTAAAGGATGGCATATTTGACTAACGGCTGGTTACTTTTATGAAAGTGTGAATATGACGGAAATATTTAGAATTTAGCCTCGCGTAATTGTAAATGTGATTTCTTGCATTCGTTTGTAACATGTACATCTCCGATCAGTAGTGAGACGGCGACTTTAGCTCCCGATGACTATGTTTTGTTGTTATTGTCGCTGTTGTTAATATTGTTTTTTTTTTTTTTAAGAGCGTTTGTGTAAGGTGATATTGCAGTCAAATATTGTTTCAGTGCCAGTTTAAACGGAAAAAAAGTGTTTACACATACCTGAGTATATTGGCAGACTCATTACATATATGGGCAGAACAATCAATAAACTCTTTTTTTCTTCCAGTCAGAGACCTATTTTTTGCACGGAAACGAGCGGTCCAGAACCGGCCTCTCCAGGCCTGTCCGCCCTTCTTTATTTTCTGAAGTTTGATGACGCTATAGTGGCTGAAGTACTGACAAACACTGCATCATTTGTGTCAAGACTTGTTTATAAATATATTACAATAAACCAAATGTTATGTCTGCAATTCACCAGATTGCCTGTACTTTTACTCCTCTCTCAGATATATTCCTAATGCAGGTTTCGTGCCGTGTGCCGGCCTGTTTTTCGTGTCCTTCTTTTTTCTTCATCCGGTTTCTCATATTTTGTTTTGTCTACAAAATATATAATTTTATGACCAGTATCACACCCAACCTACGTCCTTTCTGTCGTTTGTCTTTTAAAGAGGTAGTAACCAGAAAATGAGGCAGCCCGTCTTATCCCAGGCAGTTTCTGGAATCTCAGATTTCTCAAGATGCCCTCACCCCCGCCCTCCCCCCCTCTTCCCTCGGCCCGCGGCTTGTAACCACCCTTAATATTTACATTCCACTTCTAGGAAATAATAAATTAGTTTTAGAGCGCAAAAGTATTTCCCATACCGTGTATACTTTATTTTAGGTGGTGAAGCGTGGATTAATTTTTTTTTTATTTTTACACGATACCCGAAAACGCTAAAGTCGTGCGTACAAAAACACTGGTTAACGAAGACATTAAAACTATATACAGATTCCACTTTCGTAAATATTTAAGTGCGCCTAAATACGAAGCAATAATTTGCTGACCGATTTTTGAGACGTTCATTTGTAGCCACCAATCTTCATTTCGCGTTTATTCTATATTATTACACGAGTTTATACATCAACAAAGCGATTCTTTGTCAAAAACGTCACGCGCTCCTTATGAAGAGAGCCGGCATACCCGTTTGGCCTCAGTGATTGTGCTTAGAACGTCAAGCGATTTACTGAGCGATGTTTGGAAGCGGCGAGAGAGAAGTAAAGTCTTAACGAAACGAGTTGCGTCGGCATTTATTTTGCTAACTGATGTTAAGATATTTGCTGCCAATTTTGTTTTAGTAATATTTAGTTTGTTTAACACCACAAATTTCGTTAATTACACTATCTTAACAGTGTTTTTTTTTATAATCTACATAAAATATTCTATACCCTTATCACTCGATGGGCATCGACATCTCGAAATGTGTAATCCTTTATATGAATGTGCATCGCGCTCCAGGCAAATTCGCTTTTCATGCGCACACAATATAAGCAAATCATGGTAACGATGATAATGATGTCCGACGCGTTCATAAGTCTCGCTCGCATTAGGACCATTAGGCGGCTCAGAAAAGTGAAGCAGAAGAGCAGTCGAATAACTGCAATAAAGGCTTATTTTATTGATGATACATTTATGATCGCACAATCTGTAAAGGGAGTCGTGTTCGTAACCCGTCTTTCTATTACAAACAACGGAATGCTTAATAACGGAACCCCCTGTTCTAATATAAGTGACCCTTTGCGTGTCGGTCCGTACATACATACTTCATAGCAGAACATATCACCAGAAATTGCATGCTGACAGAAAGTCTAGCAGTGTGAGAGAGATTGCAGGAAGAATTAAGCCAAATACACGTACTCATCTCTAACCTTTGATCGAGATAAGAAGCTCTAGGTTAGGGGTCTCCAATCAATTTTTCAAGGGGGCCCCATGTTGACATGTTGCAGTCTCGAGGAACATAAATAAGATACTGTCGAGACCAGTTATAACGAATAAGCGGCTACAGCGCAGCGCTCACACTCATTGTTGTTTGCAATTCGTTATAACCGAAGTCGGTTATAACGAAAGAGCGTATACAGAGAAGTGATTTCAAAAGCTCGTTGACCTCGTTATAACCGGTCCCGACAGTAATACAATATAAACGAGGAAATGCTGAATAAATACGCGCAGGTAAGCATATAAATCTAAGATATCTGAACTAGTGCAAGAACTCAAAAACTAGTATAAGGCGGACAAACACACAGGGATCTACTTCAATGTTGTGGGAAATATTTTCCTATGGGTGGCATCAAAAAACAAAGTGACACCGACAACTAGCCATACGTAAATTAAAGCGTTTAGAAACATTCACATATTCACATGGGACACCGGACTAACGAAAATGGTGAATCAGATTTCCATGTACAATGTACAAGATACAAACAGGAAAGAAGGGGATTGTTTTTCGCAGTTATACAGTCATGAAGCAGGGAACTTTAAAAAAGTAATTCTAGTAATGCCATTGTACAATAAATATAATGCCGAGAAAACCAACGGTTTGTTGCGGTTTTTCTGGCATGTGGGAATAGTCGATTTTTGGTTTGAAGCTAATTCAAAGCGAATAGTGGTTTTGGAAAAATATTCTTGAATTGAATCTTAAACTGTTTACCCAAGCTTTTCACCACCGCACCGTACCTAATTCAAAGCACATCTGTACTCGAAAATCTTCCGTCCAAGCTTCCATTTGTCCATATTTAAGCTCATTTTAATCTAGCTATATTTATGAACTGTGAACCCAGAAATTCCATCGTCTACTTCAGAAGGGCAAGTAAATCATGCATTTGACATATCATTCAACATGTAAATATAACCTGCTCAACCTTACCCACGTGATATATATATCTTGTTGCTATATGCAAACAGTTTTTTTTTATTAAATGCAGAATCTGAGAAAATAAAATTAGGCAGTCACGGATTACAAACCTAGATTTTTCAGTACATATCTGACTAACATATACTCCTGGATAACAGCCACACTTAAATTTTGATTATATTATTATAGTGTAGGTATCTACATTCGCAAACTTTCCGTTTCTTTTTACACACACCCCGCGCGCACGTGCACCGTCGCGCTTTGAAAGGGGGCTTTCCTCTTAAGGAGGCGACTGCAATAATTTTACTTTTAGAAGTGTGAACCGCGGCGGGTTAGCCCGGTTGAGCGGGTTTCTTACCGAGCAACGGTGTACTCTGAAAAAG